AGAAAGCAGCTGTTTTCCTATAGAAGATGGGAGAGTTGGGGGGGGGGGCTGCTACTGGGGAAGGGCATTGTTTTTGAACCCTGGATCACATTCATGGGAGGAAGAGCCACCACCCAAACCAGCCAATGGCTTAGAGAGGCAGCCCTCACAGCCCTTCACCCTGGAGTCACGATGGCTCTGCTTTGTGTCTCCCTGTGTCTTCCCCTCTAAGAGGAGGAGCCTGAGCACAGAGTCCGGGTTCGAGTCACCAAGCTCCGTCATGGAGGCCCGAATCGGGATCTGACTGTCCTGGAGATGAAACGGGAAAACCCACAGCTGAGACAGATCGAGGGGCTGGTGGAAGAAGTGCTGGAGAGGGAGGGGCTCGCTGCCCAAGGTGGGCCCTGAAGGGAGGGGCTTAGAGCGCCGGAGTGGCAGGGCTGGGTCAAGGTGGACTGGTGACCTCCGGCTTGGGACTAGAGGGCAGGGGACCCTCTAAAGCTCCAAACCTTTCCCCTCCTCACTACCCTTGTTGCACCTTCCAGGCAAGATTGAAATAAAAATCGTGCGACCCGGGGCTGAAGGTAATGAGGACGACACACGTTGGCTGACTGATGAAGACACAAAAAGCCTTAAGGAGATCTTCTTCAATATCTTGGTGAGGCATCCCACCCAAGTCCTGAAATCAAGGTCTGGTTACACCAGCCGTGCACTGCCAGCCTTCCTGCTGTCTGAGGTGAAGCTACGCTTCAGCTGCTACTCAGGGAGAACTCCATTGGAAGCCATCTCCCCAGTCCCTACCTCCCACCGCAGTATCAGGACCCCCCAGATTCCACAGTCCCGGACTTCCTTTGGCTACAGGCAGCGCTTCCGGCTCAACCCCCCTTTCCTCCCAGGTGCAGGGAGCTGAAGAGGCCAATAAGGAACGCCAGCGTCAGAAGGACCTGGAGAGCAATTACCGCCGGGTGTGGGGCTCTCCAGATGGTGAGGACACTGGAGACCTGGATGAGTTTGACTTCTGAAACCAGCACTGCGGTCCTTCCAAGGATTCCAGAATCTTTCCAACTGGCTCTGCCTCCTCATCTCCCACCTTGGGGCCCCGGAGGCAAAAGGGCAGGGTGGAGCCAAGCTCTGGACTTCAGGGTCCCAGCCCAGAAGGTGTGTGTGGGCCCCACGAGGGAGAGCTGTTCCAGCTCCAGAGAGCCTCAGCCAGGCCTATGGGCTCCACTGCCCAAACATGCCTTTCTTTGCCCCTTTGAGTTTCCCTGTCCCCTGATTTCTTAGCGCATACCCCATTTTACCCAGAGACATGGTAAGATCTTGTGAGTGGGACGTGGTGGGAAAAGCGGGTGAGCTGGACAGTTTATCAGACTTCAAGAAAGCAGACCTCACCCCCACCTCCTCACCTCCCCCCCCCCCAATGCCCCGTTGCTGTTGAGAGCTGCTTGCCCCTCCCTCGGCTTTCCTCCTTCCTGTTCCTACTGTCCTGTTGTCTGTGCTTCTGAGTCAGGAGCCCTTGCCTCTCTCTGTCGCTGAGGGAATAGGAGACCTTCCTTACACATCACCTCACACTCAAGCCCAGCAAGTGGGTTGGATATGGAGCCACCCACCATGTTCTTCAGGTTTCTAAATAAAGAACTGGACCATCAGTGCATCGGCCTTTGTGTGGGGAGGGCTGGTCGGTCTTTTCAGGATGGGGACATGTCCTCTTATCCTGTCTGCTCTACCCTCCCAGAAAGTACCCGTGTGCCTGGGGTACACAGGCAGAGGTTGGGCCAGCTGAACAAAGTCCACTGGTCTGGAGAGAAATGCTGCTCTCCTCTTGGTAGACTGACCGGACACTGGCCAGAGGACGGAAGGGGAGACCCTGAGGGACACAAGTGTCTTATAAACCAGCGTCTGCGCTCTGAAGGGATGAGGATTTGGAGGCAAGTCTTAGAGGACCCTAAGAGCAGCGGCACAACTCTGGGAGGCTTCTGATCCCTCCTTCCACCATCTATTCCTAGCCCTTATTTCTAGGGAAAAAAAACCATAGATTGCCCAATATTGGGGGACCAACCCAGGGCCTCACCCATGCTAGGTGAGCGCTGGGCTGCCGGCTGCACCCAACTAGCCCTTGCACTTGAGAATTCTTGCCCAATCCTCACCCTCTTTACACCCTGAAAGTCAAGATGTGTCCTGCAGAGACCGCCCACGCCGGGCCTCTTCCTTCCCACAGTGAGCTCCGGATTCCACTTGCTAGCCCCTCCCCCTGTTATTTACCATTCCCTGGGAAACTCTACTTACTACCATGGCTGCCTACACGGCCCGGCTCCAGAGTATTCCAGAGACAGGTGTCTCCATCTCCTGAATGCCTAGGACAGCTGTGGGAGCCTCTTACCCCATTTTCTCTCCCAGGTAGAGGACCCTGAGGACAATAAAGGGATAGACTCTCCTTTGGGTCCCCAGCTAAGAGATATGTAGCCCCTTTTGGACACAAAGGGGGCTCCCGAGAAGAAAGGGACTGCCACAGAAGTGGAAGTCGAGAGCTTTGGTTACTAAAGAACTCATGGGGCTGGCCCTCCTCTTGCTGAATGTGGAGGAGTGTGAATTGTGTGTTATGCTTATATTGTGTGGAAATGTGGAGCAGAACAGCTTCCCACATCCATGTGACCCTCTCAAGGGGACAGATGTTGCAGCTGGTGAGAACTTGGGCGTTGTGAGTGGCCACAGGCAGGCCCCTGGGTTCAATTAGCACCCACTTCAGCAGTAGAGCTGAGGAAGCACTGGCCTCCAGGGGACAGTAATGAGGATGGGGGGGGTCACAGTCTGCAACAGGACAGTCTTGAAAACTGAGCAGCTGAGCTCTAAAGGGATAGGAGACGGAGGGCGTCTTAAGAGGATCCTAAAAGCTGCTGTCCAGTTACAGGAGACACCCTTGGACTGATAAGGAAGCTGGGCAGGCTACCTTTAGTGCCTCAGCGTGGTCAGAAAACACGGAACCCTCACTGCACTGAATCGGCTTGTTCTCTTTTCCTGGCTATTGACTTTTGGCAGAGTTCCCATGAAGGTCAGGCAGTCTCAGCTGTGCTGAGACAAACAGTAGGAAGAAGCAGCAGGTGTGTGGCAGACAGCACCAGAAGAGGGTAGGGAGGGTCAGGGCAAGAACCCAGTGTAGAAAGAAGCACATGGCTGCTTGTGGGGCATGGGTGTGAAGGGAGCAGCTTGCCTGTGCCCATCCAGGGGTGCCCTTTCTATTCTTCCACAGCCTGAACCTCATCCCACAAGACTAATGTAACTCATTAAAAGAAATCAATTACTTGGCTGTGGTTTGCCAACCTCCTCGCCATTTTTCCCTGGCCTGCGGATCCCTTGACAAGTAGCTTCCTTCTGTCCAGGGTCCTCGTTCCTCCCCATATCTACCACCCTGAGCTTCTGAGGAAGGAAGATGGAGATGAAGATGACCCACGGTCTCAGCTGATAGGCAGTGGGACCTGCCAGTCTTCCTGTCTTTCCCCAGACCACACAACTCCCGATGAGTCTATCCCTGCCCTCAAGTCTGTTCCTCCCTGGGTCATATCGGTGTGTGAGGCTCTGCAGAACAGCTTCCAGGGCTATGACCAGATCCTATCAGTTCTCTGATACTTCTAAAGATGAAGAAGACTTATGAAGGAACCCAAGGGTTAGAGTGAACTGTACCTCAGGACGCCAATACCACCAACTGAGTCCTTAAACTGCACTACAGCATTTGGGACCAAACCTGCATTTGCTACCAGCCTAGCCTGTATAGGGCCTGATGCTTATATAGCTTCTACACCCCAAAAACCAGCAGGGTTGACTATGCAACAGGCTGTGGTGCTGTGACCCAGGTTTCTGTGACCTGTGTGACCTCATAATAAAAGTGGGCAAATGCCTACATCAACTGGCATGGATCTTGTGGACATGGGGGAACTGCAAGTGGTTGAGAAAGCTCTTACCCCTGCAGTCCCTAGCACCCCCTATTGGCTGATGCCTATGATCAAGGTAACCTACTGAGCAGGCTAACCTAGGGCAGTGCCTCCCCAGGGATTGCAGCGCTTACAGGTACCCTCTCAACACATGTCTCTGAAGTTACTTGCCCAGCATCCCCTAACTAAGGAACGTGGGCCAGGACTTAAAACTAAATCTCATTCTTGAACCCAAACAAGCCCACTGTTTCAGACCTCAACTCCCCAGGTCTGTCTGTTTCTCCAAACACCACGCTCCAACTCTGCAAAGTTTGCCATCAATCTCCTACCATTACGCCTACCTCACAAACCCAGGATTGCACAAAGCTGAGACTACCTCTGTGCCCGTGGGTACTGTCCTGACCCCAGCCCAGAAAGGACCTCTGCCTGGCCGTTTCCCGTCTCCATTTCCCCAACATCCACCAAGACCATACCCTCGCCTGCCTCTTTAATAACAGACCAGCAGCTCACCCCCTAGACAAAATCACTTCCTCTTTAATTGCTGTTAAAGATTCACATAACCTGCTTTGGAGGTGAGGGGGGCAACCCCTGCCCCCTCCTCACTCCACCTCCGATTACCTGGTCTTTTGCAAAATATTTTAGCCAGGAAGAAAAAAAAAAGACCGGAAACCACTGACACAGACGGCCCAAAGCCTGGGCTGACTAAGGGAGCAGGGCTGGGCTAGGTAAATCCATTCCACTTCCCCCCTTTCTGGGACGGGGCCTGGACCTGGACACCTTCCCAGCTACTGCACACCCTCTCAGCCCTGGCTGGGAGGGAGCAAAGGATAGAAAAACAGATCTGGAGCTGCTCCAGTGAGAGAGGGGCTGGACAGAAAGGATTGTGGGGGAGGGGCCCCATTGTAGGGGTGCCCCCTTCCCCAGATCACCACGGGTGCTGCACAGTCACACGTACGCAGTCACAGTCACAGACACAACCCAAGAGCACCCCCACCCCACCCCACCCCTGCCCACCCTTGGCTTCCCCTACCCTGAAATGCCCTCCCCTCGCCCCTACCCACCCCATCCCCATATTGGGGAACAAAGCAATAAATTACAAGGCCCCTCTCTAGCCCCCTCCTGTTCCAATCCTTCTCCCCCACCCCAAGATCGTAAGGGGAAGGACCCAGGCTCTCGGCTCCCCCTGGCTCTTTAGCTTCCATTCATAGACAGGTAGAGGGGGATTCTGATTTCCACTCCTCATGGACCCTTTCACAGAAAGGGTTGGGGACCCCTCCACCTCCACGGGCAGCAGGGGTCCTGCCCCTCGCTGCCCTTCCCCCTCACTGGGCAGTGAGATCAGCATGGAAGGGGTGGGGTCCCATATTGGTCCCAAGTCCCAGGACTAGTCCTCCACCTACTAACCCCTCCCTCTGGCGTGGCGTTGCCCCAGGAGCCAGCCTGGGTTTTGGGCTTCAGCCACCGGATTGTAGAACGCAGGCAGGACTGGATCTTTTACCCGCCCCTAGATGGGGACGAGCCAGTAAGTCCGAGCGCCCTGGAGCCGGTACAGCTGCAAAGGCAGCAAGTAGACAGACCCAGGGTAATCCAAGTATGGAAACAGTGGAGTAGGGGCGTGTTGAGCTAGGGTCTCCATGCCTCGTGGGGAGAGGGAGGTGAGTTTGTGTCTCCTGGGAGGCGTGTGGGACTGTGCCCTCGTGGGGGGTAGGAAGTGCTCCCGTGGGACTGGGTGCAGACTGGAGAGGTGAGTGGGTGCATCTGTCCAGCGGTCCACCCGGTGCGGTCGTGCCCTGCCCGCGCAGGGGTGGGAGAGTGTCTCTCCCGCTGCTGAGCAACTATACCAGCGCTATCGTGGTATCCACGCGGCCCAAACTGGCAGCGCTGCTCCGGCGCCTCGGGCTGGGCGTGGCGGTAATGCTGGGGGTGGTGGCCGCGCTCGGTGTGGTGGCTGTGCTGCCGCCCTCTCCCGGGCAACCGTGCTGGAGGAGGATGTCTGCACACAGCTGGCTGCCAGCCTGGCGGGCGTAGAACAGTGCCGTGCGGCCCTGCGCATCACGGGCCGCCACGTCCGCGCCGTACTGCAGGAGGAAAGGGCCCTATGATCACGCGCCATCCAGGGGACCTCCACCCGCACACCACCCACTCTACGCCTCCAAATCCACCTCCGGGCTCCCTTTCCCTACCTCTCCGCTCACGTACCCACAACAGCAGCTGCGTGATGACAACGTGGGCGAGCTCAGCTGCCAAGTGGAGCGGCGAACGGAGCTGCGGGTCCTCCACGCTGGTGTCGAGTGGCCCATGTCGCGCGTGGGCCAGAAGCAGCAGAACGGTAGCCACGTCCTGGGCCTGCACAGCTGCCCACAGCTGGCGGCCCAACGGCTCCTCTGTGGTACCCAGAGGCGCCAGGAACAGCAGCTGTTCATACTTGGCGCGAATCCACGACTCCCGCTCCTCCCTGCAGTACCAGGGACCAAGGGAAAGAGTTGTAGGGGACCTCTAATCAGGATCTCCCAGGAACCGTACCCTCTCCACACTGATGCTCTATCCTCACCGCGAAGAGTCCCGCGTGGGCTTGGCTCGGCCCCGAGTGTCGCTCTCCCACACTTGGTTGGCCGTGTCGTTGCCAATAGCCATCAGCACCAGGGTCAGCTCCCGCGGCCAGTCGTCCAAGTCCAGCGACCGCACCCTGGACAGGTGTGTGCCCAGGTTCCGGTGGATGCCAGAACACTCAATGCAGATGAGCGCACCCAGATTCAAACTGGCCCACGTGGGGTCTGGGGATAGGATGCAACACAAGCGGTAAACTCGGGTTGGCAGCATGTCAACAAGACACCCCGCCTTTCGCCAGACTCCAGCTAACACCCCTAGTCTGGGATCCTGCTCCCCAGTTCCCTCAGCAGTGCCCTCGCCTGCCTCGCACTCACTGGGCGCTCCACAGTCCACGCAGGTAGCGTTTCCCTTTGCGTTTCGGATTGCCTGGATGGCCACAGCTTCGCTTTGGCTGTCAGTGCGCAGCTGCAGAGAAAAGTGAGGTTGGAGCTGCACCTCTGACTCTCGGCCCCTGTTGCTAGCTAGCTTCCATCAACAGCCTCAAAACGTTTACCTTGACCTTGCTGCTCTCACAGCACTGCAGACTGGCCAGAATCTGACTCTCGATGGCCTGAACCCAGGCATCCCGCTCCTCGAAGCTGGCTGCCTCAAAGTGCCACGTCTGCCCAGTGCTGGACACGATCAGGAACTCAAAGTTTTCCTCTGGGTAGGTGGATGGGAGAGATCATGAGGGACAGAGTTCAAGCAGGAGGCCTTCCCCAAACCCTTCCCCCTGATGTCCTTGGAGCCCCTAGGAGTGGGACAGTGGGGGGAGGGGAAGCAGAGGGTGGGAAACAGCAGGAAGCCCGAGCACATGCAGGGAGAAGCAGGGCACCCCCACCCCTCTGCACCCCAGCTTAGCACACCCCTCCCGGCTCCCGCTTGTTACCTGCTTTATAAATATTTCTTAAACTACCAAAGGATTTTAGTTTCCACATTTTGCGCTTGGCTGGTTTCCCGAAGCGAAGGAGATAGAGACAGAATGGAAAGAACAACAGAGAAAGAGACCAAGGAAAGAGGAAGAGGCAGATGGAGAGATGGAGAGACAGTGACAGAGACAGCCAGAGACGAAGCAGGACAGACAGATGGGGAGAGAAAGCAGAACTAAAGTCAGTGGCCCCGGAGCAGAGTGGAGCGGAAGCCAAGAGCCATGAGAGTCGGCAGATCTGGAACCTGGGTCGCAGCACCCGGCAAAGAACGGGGTGGCAGGGGGTGGGGAGGCCAGGCAGGTATTGTGACTAGAGAGAAATCTGGTCTCTGTAGGGGGAGGGGTGGGTGTCAGACTTTGTGTGAACAGTAGAAAAGGGGCAGAGATGAGGGGCCTGGGGCTCAGAAGGCAGTAGAACTGGGAGCAGGAATTGTTATTGGGGGGTTGGGGTGGGGACGAGGACAGGTATGGGGTGAGTGCCCGAGGCCTCTTGGAGGAACCTGCCAATCATAGGTTATTGAGAGCAGGGGCTGGGGAGTCAACAGGGACACCGAGTCCAGGGGTTGCAGTACCAAATATGGGTGCAAAGGACAGGGTCAGAAGTGCAGATGTGGGCAGGAACTAGGAGAAAAGAGCAGGAGCTGGGAGCAGTTGGGTGGACAGGAGCTGGGTGGTGTCCATCCATTTCCCCACTGCTCTGCGAGAGCTAGGTCAGGGGTTCGGATACGGGTGAGGGTCCGAAGTGGGCGTGGAACCCCGCCCAGCACAGCCTCACCTTCAGCCTGCACGGTTGAGCCTTCAGTCTTGGACGGTGTGCTCAACTTCTTCCTCCTCTGCTTCTTTACCATGGGAGAAGGTGGGGGTTCCCGACTCAGGGGGCTCAGGTCTCCAGATGGGGTACAGTCTTAGGGAAGGGGACACAGTGCCTCGGTTGCCCTTCCGTAGACTTCCCTATAACTTGTATCCTGCCCTGAACTTCCATTTTAGGGTATTCCTCCTCAGCTGTCCCTGTCCAAGAGTCCCCCCCCCCATCATTCCTGGGCCACCGGTGAGGGCTTTAGAATCAGATCTGCATTCAACTTTTTTTTAAAAATAATTTATTTTCATTTTACGTGCATTGGTATTTTGCCTTCATGGATGTCTATGTGGGGGTGTTGGGTCCCCTGGAACTGGAGATACAGACAGTTGTGAGCTGCCATGTGGGTGCTGGGGATTGAACCCAGGTCCTCTGGAAGAGCAGCTGGTACCTTTAACCGCTGAGCCATCTTTCCAGCCTGTGCTCAACTCTTTACTGTGCAACTTACTAGCCTTGAGACCTTGAACAAGTTCATTTATTTTCTGAGCCTCAGATTTTTATTTTCATCCCTAAAATGGGGATCATAACGTTGACCCCATAAGTTGCTGTGAGAAACATTTACTAAGGTGTTACTTCCTATTCGTGTCTATATTTGTATACTCTATAAATTGTATACAATTTATATATATAATGTCCAAACACTGATGGCTGACTATGTTCTGGTCAAGGCCCTCAGCTTGTTAAACTAAACCTCGGAGAAACTTCCTATAGGGTAGACACGGCATGTGGCAAGGCAAACTAAGGATCTGAGCTCAGGCAGGCAGACTAGCTCTACTAGAGTCTAGCTGTCTCCAGTGCCAGGACAGACACAGCATATGAGCTTGGTGCCAGTCACCCAGCAGACATCCCTCGTGTTCCCTCCAACATTTGTTCCTGCACCAAGCCTCCACTTTATTCCACTTCCCACCCAGATCCCATTTGGATTCGGAAGCCAGTAGATGGAGGATGGTCCCACTAACCGGTGCTAAGGGCCCGGGCCAAATTCCGGTCTGGCTTCAGCAGGTGCTTGGATGTCTGGTCCGGTGGAAGCTGCAGGGAGCTGGGGCTGGGGCTGGGGCTGGGCATGGGAGTAGTGGCTTCTGTGGGAAGGAGAGGGAGAAATACCAGTGAGCTTGTCTCCAGCTGCCACCCCACACAGCCAGGGTGGCACCAACTCCTCTTGCCACCTTCCTCTGTCCCTGTCTCCTTCCCTGGGCACTTGTTGTGGGCCCCACTTACCAGGGCCTTCGCCCATCTGGACGGTGCTCATGTCCTTGACCAACCCGTTGATGCTGGCTGAGGGGCCAAAAGCAGAGATAGCCCGTGGGGGCCGCTTCCCTGGGACTTTGACAGTTGTTCGTAGCAAGTCCATCTCTTTACCGTGTGTACTGTGGATATAATCCTGCAGAGGTACAGGGTTGAGAGTGGTGTGGGGGGTGGTGTGGGGAGCTCCAGCTTTTGTGCTGGGAAGTAAGCAGTATTAACAGGATACAGAGGGGCTCTGAGAGCTGACTGGACTGGGAAGAGCTCGTAGGGGGGCAGTCCTGCCAGACTTGGCCAGGAAGCATCCCTTGAATGGCAGGCTTCCCCAGGCCTGTACAAGGTACTCCCCCACTGCAAGTTCCTGGGGCAAGGAGTTTACCTTCCTATGCCCAGCACAGACAAGCTTCCTAAGCCTCAGAGAACAGAACTAAAGCCCCCCAGAAATGATGCCAGGACTTGTCAGAGGCACAGAAAGAACTAGAAGGACATCCAAGGTTTTCCGGCGTGGACCATCTCTGCTACTCACATTGATGCTGGGGTGGTAGAGGAGAAAGCCATTGCTAGAAAGAGTCACGTATTTCTTCTTCCATTCTTTGTTCAAGGAATTACCACTTCTCTTTAGCAAGAAGCTCTGGAAGAGCAGGAAGATGTATGGGAGAAAAGTCAGCTAAGAACGGCGGCTTCCGACCCTTCTTCAGCTCCCAAAACCCTTACCTGTTTAATGGGGATGGCTCGCCCACTCCCTGTTGTCTCTCCCCGACTGTCTAAGCTCCGCTTCTCAGAGTCACTGCCCCGACGGTTCTGGAATGGTTACTGGAATTAGCCAGAGGATGGGTAGGGTACGAGGATGGGAAGTAGTGTGAAGGAAAAGAGGGAGAACCAACAGAGACATCCAGAGACTGACGGGACAGGAGGAAAAGGGGGCCGGTATGTCCAATACCGCAAAAAGGCTGGTCCTTCGCTTGGCTGCTCGGTGTAGGGACCCTGGGGTGCTTAACCCAGCCACAGTGGCCGCCTCAGCTCGGAGCTCCCGGTGTCCAACATTGGGCGAGGATGGAAGTGAAGAAGAGTAGTCGCTAGTGTGGCCCCCGTTACTAGCCTGGAGGCATACAGAGGAGTGAGCAGAGCTTGGCACCTATACCCACCAAGCCAAGCTGACACCCAGTATGAGACATTCCCTACTGCCATCCTTATTCACTCAGTGCCATCAGTAACACAAATCTTCCCTATCTCTGTCACACTGATTCAAGTGTGACAAAGTCTGGATTCCTGATAAGGGAGGGTGGCTGGCTTAGAGACATTGCAAAGGGCAGCCCTGGCCCTCCTGGTGCTCAACATGTAGATCAGATTATCCTCAAACTTGGAGTGCTGGGATTCAAGTCGTGTGCCACCACCGCCCAGCCTCAATGTTGCTCTCGAAGCCCACTCATTTCTCCGTGTCTGAATTTGACATCAGTCTCCGACACCCAAACTCACCTGCCCGGCTATGGGAGTAGAAGCGGCTGAATGGCTTGGTGAGCTGGGCAGGGACTTGCAGGCAGCCAGAAGTTGCTGCTGTTTGCGCAAAGTCACCACCTTCTGGGCCACTGGAGCGGAGAGGCGTTGGAGGAGTCGTGAGCAGGAAAGATACCCAAGACCACTTTCCCAGGCCCTCTTCTGAGAAGCCCCAGCAGATAAGATAGCCCCAACTTCCTTGTCTCTAGACCCCCATGCTATCTATAGCCTAGCCAAATTCTCCAGCCCAGAAAGAATCTGTGAATTAATCAAACCTTCCATAGGCTCCCAGACCCCTCCTCACTCCCAGAGACCAATTTCCTGTTACTGAGAAACACAGAACAGGAAACTGGGCACCTACAGTATCACGGGGCCTCTGGCTTTCCACGCTCATGTGCCGGGGACTACCACACTCACCCTCCTGGAAGACCCGGTCCACATTGAGCCCATAGGTTGCACAGGTCTCATAGTAGCTACAGCGTTTCATGTCTGTGCAGAGAGCCCGAGCTCGAGCGTCACCCACCACTCGCGGAGAGGAGGCACTGATCCTGTCTGAGGGGACAGGCAAAGGGGCGGGATGGGTGAGGTGCCCTTCCACCAGTGTTCATGATTCCCTTTACCTTGTGTCTGGAGCCCAGGCTAGACCTCCTAGAGTTAGGGTGTGGGAGAACATCTGTCTGCTTGAGGACTGTTAAGTGTATAAGCCCCTTTGTGAGTACCAGGCCCAGTTAAGTCTGTGTATGTATGTGTTTTTCTGTCTGTGTGTGTCTGTATGTCTCTGTATGTGTCTTTCTCTGTGTATGTGTCTTTCTGTGTGTCTGTCTCTCTGTATCTCTGTGTGTCTGTCTGTCTGTCTGTCTATTTTTCCAGGCAATACTCCTGAAGCTGAGTGGAGGTTCCTGACAATGGCTCAGACAAACACCCTGAGAATCACTGAACCTAAGACCCGAGTGAGAGGAGACCCGCCTGTTAAGGAGGAAAAGTTCAATGCCAAATGTAACAGGTGGCTACTCGTTCTACAAGTCAGAAGCCAGGAGGCAAGGGACAGGTGGAGACTTGAACCTGCAACAGCAGCAGCCGGTGCAGCCACACAGAGCGTCCCGCCAGCTGGACAGCGGTGGCAGAGACAATGCTCCTCCTGCCATGGCACAGTCTGAGTGATTCTGGGCTTCTACTAGGAGAACCGAAAGTTTTTTGCTCCAGTATCTCCGTGTTTCCTCTCTGTAGAGAAATTCCTTTCTAACAGTGTCAGCCTGACCCAGCTGAAGAGAAAGGCTTCTCAGCCACACTAGGACTTGACATTTTCTGTGTGTCCCACGGTAGTGGCGTCAGAAATGGCAGAGAGAACACAAGGTAGGCAACATCTCCAGAGATGGTCATTACAGCGGTCCTCTCCTCCCAGGCTGTCCTCTTTTCTCTGCTGAGACCTTCGGAGGTTTGTTTGGTTCATTATTTCCTTATTTGGACATCAGGCTCCCTCTAGAGGGTTGCTGGAATCTAAATAGCCAATTCGACACCTTGCCAAATTATCAGCCATGGTGGGCAATACTTTAGAGGTACCCTCCACCTTCCTCTAAAAACAAGGTTTCCATATCCCCTCCTTACCTTGGGTCCCAACCAGAGCCAGGGCCAGACCTCCTCGTCCTTCCCCACGAAGGGAGCTCAGCTGCCCATGGAGACGGCTCACAGCCTGGAAGCTGCTCTCATCCTCCAGGCTGAAGACGAAGATCACAGCATCTGCCCAGCCTGAGAACTTGCAGGGGATGAGAGGGCAAACACAGGGTCATACAGGCCCCATTCCCTCTGGATACTATTCAGAGGGTGTCCCAGCAAAACAGAACGCTTCCATGTCCAATACTAACCCCAGCCAGGCTACTACGGCCACCGCCTCCGTGCCTCACCTTGGCGTCGGGCGCTCCTGCTTCCTCTCGGATCAGCACCAGATAAGTCTGCCCGTCTACCAGCATCTCTTTCTTGTACTGCTCACCTGTCCAGAAGAGTTGAGCCAAGTCACGGAACCTTCTCACATCCCCTCAACTTTAGTTCTTATGCTTCAAGTCCCATCTTGGTACCTGCCCAGGCCCGGATCTTACTGGGGGATCCCTGGCCCCCAGTCTTAGCTTACTGTGGGTCCTGGGCACTCACTCTCTGTCTTCTCCAGCACCTGGTATGAACCCGTGAGGAATCTGTGGATGAGGGATGACTTCCCACTTCTGACATCACCCAGCACACCCTAAAGGAGAGATGTGGAACAAGATGCCGGGTCTGCTCATGCCAGAGAACCCACAGGGACTGGCCACCCAAAAAGGCCCTCCAAGGGCCTCCAGTCAGCTGGGAAGAACAGGCATGGTATGGCAAGAAATGACCCCAAAGATTAAACAGACCACAAGCTAAGCAATACCCTTTTGTGTTTGTGTGTGTGTGTGTGTGTGTGTGCAAGCGCTTGTGAGCTGTTCACTAAACACATTAAACCGTGTGTGTAGTCGGGTACAGCCCAAGGCATTAGTTGAAAGTTTTTACCCTATTTAAAGCAAAAGAACAGCAAGCGTTTAAAAAAGAAAGTGCGGGACTATAGAAATGGCTCAGTGGTTAGAAGCACTAGCTGTTCTTTCAGAGGTCCTGAATTCAATTCCCAGCAACTCATGGTGGCTCACAACCATATATAGTGGGGATCTGATGCCCTCTTATGGAATAAAGGAGTACAGGCAGATAGAGCACTTATACATAAAATAAATAAAATCTTAAGAAAAATGCTAGAAAGGAGAAGACTGGACAAATGGGAAGAGACAAGATGAAGACAAGTCGTGAGGATGTTCTGAGCAGCCAGCCCCCACAAGAAGGCTAGGCTGCTAAACTCAAATCGGAGCGTTCTTGGTTCTCAAAGAGAGGAGAGAGGCGAGAACGGGGCATACCGGGGGAGGTTGCAAACCAAGGGCCTGGGCTACCTACCAGGCGCAGTTCGGGAATTGAGCGGCTCAGAGTCCATTCCTGGCTATTGACCACAGCCTCTGCAAAGGGAAAAGTGCAGTAAGGAGGAAGACTGTGGCCTAGGAGGACTTCCAGCCCACAGGCGCTCTCTTTTCTGAGGGCTTCACCTAACCCCTAAGACCCTGCCTGCACTGGAGAGTGGTCCTCAGTCCTCCTATCCCAGCCACTCTCCACAGCTGTTGCCGCCGCTCAGTGGTTGCTTAGCAACAGAGCTGGCAAGACGAAAATACTTCAGTTGGCATCTCCCTTAAAACACATCCTCTAACGTGGGTCCCTGCCCCAGACCAGATCAGGATGACTTTACTAGTGATGAGTCTCCTCCCACCACATAGAACAGAGGGTCCCGTCCCCCCTGACATTCTCAGAGCAGACCTAAGGCGGAAGGCCTGAGACCTAGAATGGAGTGGGTCTCCCTCAATCTCCATTTCACAGGAGCGAAGAGCTGGTGAGGGCTTTCCTGCCCTTTTTCAAGGTCAGTGGCACAGGTAGTTTTAACTCCTGTTCACCGCCCAAGGGGGACAGAACTTTGATTTTCCTCTGCCTAGATCTCCACAGCCTCCGAAAGAACCATGGGGGGCGGTAAGGCTCCATTCCCCAGGCAGAGAAAAGCTACAGGCCTGGGGAGAAAAGATTCTCCTTGCACCCGCCGGGTCCAACCCCCCGCGCCTGACACTGGCCGGACGTTCCCGGGGCGCCGCAGCTGCGGCGGGAACTCGGGGATCCGGAGCCATCTGCTCCCACCCGCTCAGGAGCCAAACCCCCCGGGGCCGCCCCCGCTTCCAGACCCGCCTCCCCTCCAGGGAATGTGAGCGGAACCGAGTCGTGGGTCGCTATCCACCTCCCCACCCCCGCGCGCCTGTCTCTACCATTTAGAAAATAATAATAAAAGCACCCCTTGGGAGGAAAAAAATTAAAAATTAAATAAATAAAGCTACCTCCTTGTATGGTTTCCCAAGTCTCCCGGGCTAAGAATTGTCTTTACAGCAGTTCCACCCCCTGACTCACTCCGGGGTCAGCCCTGAGCGGGTTTCGACGCCGCTGTGGGGCGGGGGTGGGTAGTGCGGGAAGCCAGGCTTCCTATCTGCCCCCCTTTCAGTTCACATTTAAATCTGCACGTTCCAGCCCCCGCTCACTCAAGAACCGCCCAATCCACCTTCAGTGCCTGGAAAAACCACCAGCCGGCTCTCAACCCAGGAAACCTGTCTCTGGCGAGGAACCGGCTGCAAGGTCAACTGCCACACCACCTGTGCCAGTTACTCAGGGGAAACTGAGGCTTCCACCTTCCCTGCATCTCCAGTGCCCCTCCACACAAGGCAAAGTCCCTATCGCCTGGCTTCTTGACTCCAACCAGGGCTAAGATTGGGGTCTGAGGCTTCTGTGGGATGCTTTCCTATAGTAAGCATCGACCAAGGCCACCGTTCTCCAGGAAGCACCAAGAACACTCCTGTCACGTCTCATCGCTTCAGGACCTCTTCCTAGTCTTTGCCCCAGCCCTTGGTCGAGAAGCGAGCCTAACTCCTCCATCCACTCAAGAGAAAAGCTTCCCTCGTTCTTGCACAGCGTTCCCCCAACCCCAAATAAGCCTTCAGGTGTCTCCGGCCCTGACCCTCCCAACTCACTAGGGGAGGCGCGTAGCTCTGCGCCCAGCAGCTCCCTGGACCCGCTGCTGGAAGACAAGCCTGGGGGTCCGGGAAGGGGACCGGGGCCAGGAGGCCCCCCTGTGCTCTTGGTGAAGATACCGCTGATAAACTTGAGCATCTTGCGGTCACGAGTGGACGCTCGGCCGCCCTCCCGGCCCCTTTTCAGCCCTGGAGCTGGTGGCTCCAGAGTGATAGGGGGTGCAGGCCCGAGGGGCTGCGTGGAGGTGGTGGTGACAGAAGTGGCTGGAACTGGGGTTGCTGGCACGGTGAGCGGAGGAGAGCCGGCAGTGGGTCCTGGATGCAAGTCACTATTGTCCAAGGTCTTACTCTTGCCTTTCCGAGGGGACAGCTTCCCTCTCGCTCCAGCCCCAGCCCCGACCCCACCAGAGGTCGTGACTGCAGCGCCCCCTCCCCCGCTGGTCGCAGTGGCAGAAGCTCCAGTTCCGGCGCTGCTCTTTGACCCCTTGACCCTGGGCTTGCCCTCGCTTTCGGGCCATGACAGGCGGCTACCGGCGCCCTTGCCCCCGCTGGCTTTGGCTCCACTAGTGGTCACGGTCTTGAAAGGCTTGGGAGCCGGTGGAGGAGGCGCCACCTTGAGCCTTCGGCTGCCGGTGCCAGGATGCGGGGAGGACGAGCCCGGGACACCGCCTCCCGTCCGGCCTTCAGGTTCCGGACCCCCCCAGCTCGGGCTGCTGAGTAGAGGGCGTCGGGAGGAAGAGGGGGCGCCCCCCGGTTTGGAGTCTGGGCTCAGCCCCCCGGAGAGCGGGGGTCCCGGAGGGGCGGCCCAGAGGGACAGTCGGCGGCCCGGAGCCGGGGAGACCGGGCGAGCCGGACTGGCCGGAGCCGGGGACAGCGTGGGGGGCTCCGCGCCCCCGGCGCCCGCGCTACTGGTGCTGATCCACAGCGCATCCTGCCGGTGGAAGAGACGCTCGTGCCGCTTCTTGCCGGGTTCCTCCGCGCCTCGGGGGCTGCCAGGATCTCGGGGCTCGGAGCTTCTGGCCCCGGGGGCGCCGGCCGCCGCTGCAGACGGAGAAGGCGGCGGCGGAGGTACCGACTCGAGCTTGACCAGGGTCAGCGAGATGAGGTAGGTCGTTGTCCGGCGCTGAAGCGCGCCCGCGCCCCGGCTCATGGGGCCCGGAGACCCCCGAGCTGGGGAGGGGAGGGAACTCCCCGGGACTGCCTCAGGGGGGCCCGGCCATGGGGCCGCCCTGCTCGCTGCCCCCAGTCCCCGGACCCCACTGAGCCCCCAGCCCGGCTCCGCTGTCGCCGCCGCCTCCGCCGCCTCCTCTTGCGCCCCCCTCCCATCACATGGGGCGCCCCCTCCCCATGCTCCCCGCCCTGCGCTCCCACCCCCTTGGAGCCCCGGGACCTTGGTGCTGCTCCAGGGAGGCGCGCCGGACCCTGCACCCCGGCCTGGGTGGGGGCGCTGAGATGGGCGGAGGAGGGTGGGGAGGACAGTAGTGGGGGCAAATGGGTAAGAAGGAAAAAGGAGCAGAAAAGGTGACAGGGGACTGGGGGGAGAAGCACGGGTGCGGGGAAGGCAGGGGCGGGAATGCGGACTCAATGGGCAGAGGCCACGGATGCAGTGGGAAAAGGGGGGTCTTGAGGGTAGGGGACAAGTAGGGCTGTCTGTGCGGGGGATTCGCTGGAGCACGGGGAGGATGCTAGGGATGGAGAGATTGGAGGTGGGGGAGGAAAGAAGGAACGGGAGGGGTAGGAACCCAAGGGTCTGGGGTCTGGGAGGGGAGGGGCGTGGATCCTGGCGAAGAGTCCGGGGGGCCTCGCCCGGGATCGGCTCGGTCCGGATGCGCGTTGTGTCCGGGCGCTCCCCTCACATTGAGGAGGAGGCGGCCCGCGGGTCCCCCCCACCCCATCTCCCCCCCCCCCCTCCACCAGCACCGCTGTCTGCTAGGGCGGTACAAAATCCAGGACTGGATTTCCCTTCCAAAACCTGGACTGGATTTCCTGGGTCTTGGATTCACCTCTGCCAACTACCTGGCACCCTCCTTTTTCACACCAAGGTTAGGGAACACGAATGTGGAGTGTGACATTTAGGGACAAAGGTAAAAACACTGATCTATTGGCTGGACAGGTACAGGAAACAGAACTCTTTCGGTCTCTGTCAATTCTGGGGAACTGAAACCGGAATGCTGTGAGCTCTGACATTCCTTCCCGGGACCCCTATTCTTTCCTTTCTTGGGGTACCTGGATGAATTTCATTTCTCATCACCCAGCCCCCTCTTCCACCCCAACTCCCACCCCATACTGAATACTTTTACGACACTGCGGCTTGGACTGATTGTCCCAAAGTGAACTTGGAAAGTGTTCCCCAGGGATGGGGACAAACAAGGAACTTAGTAGGGTAGAAGCGGAGGGGGGGGTTGCCTCTCTCTAGAGGAGAGAGACTTGAGGGCTCTTGAGCCCAAGCTGCAACGTGAGTCAAAGGCCCCAGCTCAAGGTGGAAGAAATACATCTACCAATTGACACCCCCCTATTCCAAAATGCATCTAGTCTCCATAGCAACCGTAGCTCCAAGAGTGCCTCAGAAGCTGCGGCGGCGGGGATAAGCGGAGAGGAGGGATCTGTGTGTAGGATGGGTGGGGGACCAATCAAGGGACGCTGGGTTAGTAAAGGCACTATCTCACACCTGGTTACCCACCTGCGGGAGATTTTGCTCCTTGGACACAAGGAACCCCCTCAGTTGAGGCAGCGGGAGCCGGCCTCTGAGGTATTTGCATTCAGTCTCCTGAGATCTATGTAGCCGGGCTCTTAGAGCAGGTTAAAGGGAGAGGCATAGTGAATGGACACCATTTGCGCTGTGTCCCCACCCCGTTAGGGGCTTTGGAGTTCAAGGCTTTGTCCTCCAGAGGGGCTGAGAAACATGAGCAGTTAAATCTATGCAGAAGATAGGCTGAGTCCCCATGGAGGGGGGCGGTGGGCAGGAAGGAAGAAAGTCTCCCTGAAGCCTTGGAGACCCCTGCCCAGGATTTAGAGTCTCGGCGGTCCTTTGATTTGGCTTTCCACCCTCTTGACGCAGCCCAGACTATAATAAGTGCGAGCCGTGGGCGGCTCTTGGAGGCAAGAGCCAGCAGTGTGTTCGGCCTGGTGGGGGGTAAGGGTTGGGGGCTGAACCGGGTTGTGGGGAGCCCTTTGTCCTCCAGAGGCCCATGCCCACTTTCTCCCAGATCCTATTTTGGAGGTCAGTGGTTTCTTAGGGAGTGTTCTTCAGAACTAGGATGACGCACGAGGCAGGAGACACACTCTAGTCTATCATGAAGGAGAGGATAAGGGGGAATTGTTAGCTTTTTAATATTGGGGGGCATCTCAGTTTTCCTTTGTGTTCAGTGGGAACAGATTGCTGTCTCACCCAGAGACAATTACCCATGAAGAGAAGAGCTTTGACAGGTGAAGTGGTGTACCCTTTTGAGGATGCTGAGGCAGGAAGATTGCTAGGAATTTAAGGCTAGCCTGAGCTACACAGTGAGTTCAAGGCTAGCCTGAGATGGACAGTAGAATCCAAACCCAGTCTCAAAAAGGAAAAAAAAAAAAAACCAAAACAAAAGCTAATGTGGGGCTGAGGTGTAAAGGGGTAGAGCTTGCCTGGGTTCCGACATCACACACCCCACACAGAAGTATGGGGAAGAGGTCTACTCCGCCTCCCAGCATCCTCTCTTTGCCCCTCCTTTTTGAGACTTTTTTCTTTTCAGTAGTTGCTCATTATGTAGTTGAGTCTGAGGCTGGTTTTTAGGATTTGCTATGTAATCCAGGCTGCCATAGAACTCAATCCTGCTCCGTTCTCCTGGGTCGTGAGGCTATGGTGCTAGGATTACTGGTGTGCCCTATCACACTAGCTCTCCCCTTTTCTAGAACTAAGCAGGGTGTCTTTGCCTGGTCCCAACCCCACTCTACTTCCGACAAAGGTGGGATCTAGAGTTCTTTCCTAGGTGGTCCTACTAGGTCTCCTTTTCCATCACCTGGGATAACAGAGGAGACACAGCTGTTGTCCTGTCAAAGGATTGGATGCAGGAGCTGAACAATACTAGCTTCAGAAGAGCAAGGAGAAGAGGGAGGCATGGGAAGGGAATGGGACTATCTCACCAAATTCTAAACCATCCAAACCTTCCTCTAAACTGTGCCCTGGTGTCAGGAGGTGTCCTTGATGGAATTTTATTTTTGACATTTCCTTCCTGGAAAAGTTGCTGAGAATGGGGACAACTGATATCTAGAATGGTCAGGGTTTGATAAAGATGGGTTTCTGCCTGACACACTTCGCAGGCAAGGAAGCTTGCTTTTGTGAGTTCCTGTGCAGCCACAGATGGATGAAATATCAACAGATCCCCCAGTTCCTCCGTGGTGGGCCTTTGTGGATGGAGAACAGGCTTGCCAGGGCCCCACCACAGGATCCAAGGCTACAGTGGGCAAGGAGGATGTGGCGGATGGTGTTGCCATGACAGCACTTCCTCCCTGTGTTGTCATCACTTACTCTAATGGCACTCAGGAGGTAGAACGGAAGGCACTAAGGAGGTGAGGGGAAGACAAGAAAGGGAACACAGGAGGAGAGGGACTGAGTCAAGTCCTGGGGACCTCACCACATGGCAGCTATACAAAGCATGCCGCTTAACGCTTAAGTGTGTTGTGTCCCTGACATAGCACACCTCCTCCCTTCTGCATGTGTGTTTCCCTCAGCTGGAAAGAAGAGGTCCCTGATCTTTAGTGGGTCCTGGGAATGAATACATTACCAAGTCCCAGAACCTCCTGCCCCTGAGTGCCTCTCGTTCTGGACCACCCAGACAGGGACATCTACCTAATGGGTCTGTTAAGCCTGTCTCCCCAACGCTTATCTACTCTCTGCTGCCGAGAAGGTCGGCTCCACAATGACTATTATTTTGTTCAGAGGCGATTTTGGAAAGGGGAATAATGATGCTCCCCTCCACATCTTTGGCCATCCTCTCCAAATGTCCTCTTCCCGAGTCCCAGCTCCATCTTACGAACTAGGAAGTGACTGCTTGAACAGCAAGCAGTTATGCTATGACACGGTTAAGCCTTTCTGTGTCCCCTGCTGGTCCCCCAAACAGTCAAGTTAGGGATTGATGCGTCTCTTACCTCGTATGTTGTCCAGTGAGGCCTGGATGCCATCTCGGAGATCAGGGTCACCCACTCTCTCTGCCAGCTTCCTGAGTCGGCTTAGAGCCTGCTTGGCCACCTCATGTCGTCTGACTTCTGCTCTCACTGTGGCTAGAGCCAACTGCCTCTGGGCATGCATGTTGCACGGACCTGGTTCGCCAGACTAACAACCACCCCTGGCCCTGAAGCCCATGACCTCCCAGCCCCCAAACTTCACAAGGCCCCTTCTGCTGTGCCCCAGAACTCCTCAACCCTGCCCGCCCTTCCGTCTGTCGGCCTCACTTCCTGACTGGTGAGTTTCAAACCCACAACCCACACAGTACTTTACTACCTCTTACACCTCCTGCCCCCTCTAGCGTTGGCCCTGCAGCTCTGACAGTCAGTCGCGGCTATGACTCCTGTCAGGTGAAGGGAGCGACCTTAATAAGAGTTCTCCCAGCCTCTGTGGGAGGTAGCTAATTAAGATAGGTGTTGGTTCTGGGAGAATGTGGCCAGCGAGATCACAGGTAGGAGCTTGTATTCTTGGTGATCTGCAAATTTGTCTGAGACTCACACAGAAATTCCCATGCCTTGCTCTGTCAGCACAGAGGCCTGTATGCTAGTGTCCAGCTATTCATTACTGTATGCCCAGCCATTAAAGCTAAGACTCAGCCTGCTGAACATCAAGAGTTCAAGTCCCAGTTAGTCACCCCTCTGTCTACATGTTTCTATTAGCTTCCCTTAGTCAGCTATTCACTAGAACCATCTCCTGTTTATAGGACCCAAGTAGTTATGGGAAGAATGGGTTATAGGGGAGGAAAATAACCTATAGCCAGATAAAACTATGTGCTCCAAGTCCAGCTTCTGTCATAATAATTAGCATGTTTTAAAAATAATAATAATAATTAGCATGTATATAGCATTTAATCATTTACAACATGCTTTTATATATAATAACGACAAGCCCAAAGGGTAGGATAATTTACCACCATTATGCAGAAGGGCAAACTGTTGCTCAGAAAGGTCCATATCTGGTGAACAAAGATCCGATTGTACTTTTAATTTAATACACACACAACTGAGATACTTGCCAGCTAGTCCCTCAGTACCATTGTTCTGCTCTTGAGTCATGGCCTGATACAGAAGAAGAATGAGGAATTGGAAGCGAAAATGGAGATAAAGCAAGTTGGGGAGGTTGTAGGTAATGGGGAGTTTACCTACCCATTTGGCTCAATTATTGTTATTTTTTGGCAGGTGTATGGTGCGCAGGGTGTGTGTGTTCCCATGTGTTCTGGTTTCATCTCTTTTACTGTGTTACAGTTCCCTGGCAAAAAACGAACTTGGTCAAGAAGGGTTTCTTTCAGCCACGGTTCTGCACTGTAGCCATTGCTGTGGGTGTCATATGCTCACCTGTTTGTGTTCCGCTCCTGTGCAGTTCATAACCTCCTGCCTAGGGAATAGGGCCACCCACTGTGGACCGGTTCATTTTCACATCAGTTAACTTAATTAAGACACCCCCACAGAGACTTGCCCACAAGCCAACCCCACGTAGAAAAACTGTCATTGAGCCCCTCTCCCCAGATGATCCTAAACCCTGTCAACACAGTTAGAGCTGCCCGTCACAGCATGTGTGTGCGGGTACACATGGACATGTGTGCCTTTGTGTGTGTGGGTTAGTCCAAACTTGTCATTGTGTCTTCCTTGATTGCTCTCCTGACGTGAGAATTTACAAAGGTCTTTATTATGGGGACTCAAAGGGAAATGTAGGCTCACAAAATACAGGACAAGGTAGAAACCGCTATGGGTCCAGCCGCTGAGTCCCTCCGCTCTGCCCCAAGGGTGATGTGAACAACCACACAAGCTTGCTTCTATTCCGACCTCCCAAGAGAGCCAGAGAGACCCCTCCTCTTCCTAATAAGAGATCATGTCTGCACACAGAAGCCACGCCCTAAGACCGGTACCCCAAAACTACTGGCAGAAATTTCCACAACACTCTCCACTGTATTCATTGAGGCAAGGTCTCTCGCAAGTCTAGAACTTTCTGACGAAACTAGCTAGCCATCTTTCCCTGAAGACCCCGTCTCCACCTCTAGAGTGCCAGAGTTACAGGAAGCAGCCTGCCTGGTCTTTATGTACACTCTGGGATCCAAGTTCAGGTCCGGACACTTGCAGAACAAGCCCCTTATCTCCACAGCTTTGACCTAATTGTTTTGTTTCAAAGACAGATTGAACCTATCTAGATATACCAAATTATTTAATTTTGTATCACTTCTATTTAAAAACTATTTTAAAAGTATTTATTTTATTGTTTTTCAAGACAGAGGTTTTCTGTGTAGCCCTCGCTGTCCTGGAACTCACTCTGTAGACTAGGCTGGCCTTGAACTCACAGAGATCTACCTGCCTCTGTCTTCCAAGTGTTGGGATTAAAGGCGAGCACCACTATGGATCAGCCATTATTTTTTTAAAAAAATATTTATTTATTTATTTATTTATTTATTATGTATACAATATTCCTTGTGTATGCCTGCAGGCCAGAAGAGGGCACCAGATCTCATTACAGATGGTTGTGAGCCACCATGTATTTGCTGGGAATTGAACTCAGAACCTTTGGAAGAGCAGGCAGTGCTCTTACCCTCTGAGCCATCTCTCCAGCCCCTCAGCCATTATTTATTTTATTTAAAAATTTATTTATTTTCTGTGTATGAGTGTGCCTGCACATATGTATGTGTGCTATGTGTGTGCTTACTGCCTCCGTAGGTAAGAAGGTATTGGGCCCTGTGAAACTGGAGCTATGGATGGTTGTGAGCCACCATGTGGGTTCTGGGAACTGAACTTGAGTACCAGCCCTCTAGATTTTCATGCATATTTTCTTTTTTTCTTTCTTTCTTTCTTTCTTTTTTTTTTTTTTTTTTTTTTTTTTTTTTTTTTTTTTTTTTTTTTTTTTTTTTGGTTTTTTTGAGACAGGGTTTCTCTGTGGTTTTGGAGCCTGTCCTGAACTCGCTCTGTAGACCAGGCTGGTCTCGAACTCACAGAGATCCGCCTGCCTCTGCCTCCCAAGTGCTGGGATTAAAGGCGTGCGCCACCACCGCCCGGCTTCATGCATATTTCTTGAGGATAGTTTATGAAGGGTAACTGTGGGCATCTTTATATTTGAAGAGATGGGGGTTGAGTTTGGATCTCCATAAAATGGTCTCCATAAAAATGGGCTAAACATTAATAACCGAGTTGCTAGGTACTGGGTATTGACTGGGGCATTTTATATATTCTAGCTCCCTCAGTGCTCACTACAATCCGGGAGTTTCCAGAGTAGCATTGTTAGAGGTAGGTGCATCGCCACCTATCCCCATTTTATGGCTGAAGTACTTGGCACACACAGATAGTCAGTCACAAAGTTAAAACCCTGCGGTTTGACTCCCCCGTTAGGACTAGACTGTAGGGAACGGTTGTGCCATTTCTCACTCCTATTCAAAGGGTACTATGTCCAGATGCTTATGCAATAACGTTATTGACCCATTATACCCCCATCTGGAGTGAAAGTATGGAAAATTGGGGTTGGAGAGATGGCTCAGTGGTTAAGAACACTGGCTGCTCCCCAAGAGGACCTGGATTAAATTCCCAGCATCCACATGACAGCTCACAACTGTCTAACTCCAGTTCCCGGGGATCTGACACTCTCGCACAGACGTAGATGCAGGCAAAATGCACATAGAGTTGAGAGAGAGAGAGAGAGAGAGAGAGAGAG